AGGATGATATCATAGCAGGGTTCACAGTCCCCAATTCTCCTACTTTATCCAACTGTCCCAACCCCGTTTCTCCTGCCACATCCTTGTCTCCGGTTGGGACAGGTGAACCGAGTGAATCAAAACATACCACCATTCCTAGATGTAAATATAACTTTAAAATTAACCATAATTTATCTTGACGTCATATATAACAGACATTTATAACATAGTTTTCAATTAAATTAATGATATCATATAAAAACATGGTTACAAACATATCTTGTACAATCATAAATATTATTTGTTTCAGTAGTGAGTGTTGGTGGGGGCAATTATGACACACACTAGTGTATGTAAATTGGTGCAAAAATTGAGTAACATTTGTTGGTCAAAGCAAAAAGAGCACAGAAAGGGGCTTATTTTCCACCCATTTTTCTCCCCATGTCTAAAAACATTCATTCATAAACAAATGCTCCTTGTGGCTTTTCCAAAATCACTCCTACTTTTAGTGCTTCCAAACAAGTGGTTTTTATCATCATACATAGATTTTAAGATCTAAAATCATAATAAGCTGTTTTTTTATGTATTAAAATAAGCATATGTAGATGTGTTGTATCCAAACAGCATCATGCAGTTACAAAGTAAACACAACCAAAAAAAAAAACTTTTTAACTGTTTATGCTTTTGATTTCTTTATAAAGAAGGTTTTTTAACTGATGCTTAATCTGTTGTCAACAGGGTAATGAAATTTAGGTGAATTTGGATCTATTTTGTAATACTGGTTAGGAAAAAGCAGGTAGAGACGATCAATCAAAAACTAAAGGTGCTTAAACAGAGCATATAAAAGCCAATTACTATATAATATCTTTAAAATTTTCATTTATATTAAAAAAAAACTAAAATAAAATAATGTCATTTATAAAGATTAGAAGGTGTCTTGGAACATGGGAAGCACACATTTAGTGTCAAAAGGTGAAGTTGGACACTCTCTTGATGATTAATAGTTGCTTTTCATACATGCAATCAATGGACAACTCCAAAGTTGTTATTTTCTATTTTTTTTTTTTTGGATTATAATAAAACTTGTAGTTTTTGGATTTTTTAACAATCAAATTATATAACACCATTTTAAATTAAAAATAAATTTAATAGCAATGTGAAAATTTGTTTATTTTTTTATAAATAAATGTTTTGAATAATTATGTAACATATGGATAAATAGATATGAATGGTTGGGTTCCGGTGAGAATGAAAGTTATGTTGATAATAGAAATACGTGATGTTAACCGTTAGATCAATTCTAATTGAGAAACAACACTAAATGAGAGGCATTGATCAATTCGCGTATCAAGCGCAATTCATTAGGTGAGGGTGAGATTAAAAGTGACGAGGGTTCAAATGTCTTCTTACGCTTCTTATATTAACTATTATTCTTACATGATCCTTCGTCTAGGTATCTAATGATAATGATAAGTAAATAATTGTTGTTTGTTTTGCATTTAAAAAAATATGTCTGAATGCTAACAACTATTATTATAAATTACATTTTCTTTTTATCAATTTACATGAACGAATCATTTAAATAAAAATATATTAAATAAATAAGATCTATTAAGATTCAACATATTAGAAGGGTATTCGCACAATTCAAAGAGATACATCTTGATCTTAATGTTTCGTTTTACTCTGTTTCTACTGATGTTATAATACGATTTTATGTGGTTTTGAGAAAACGATAATATTTTATTTTTGAATTAAATATAAATTTGAAAATATCATAAAATTTTGAAAATATATATCATTATTAGTATCAAATTAACTATTTAATAATTATCATTTTTTTTGTAATTTCTTTAAT